AAATGGACACTAGCTTCAGGTCACTGCTTTCACACAACGTCAAAAAGCAGTACTTCTTCAACAAGGTGCACACTACTCCAAGAATAGGCCTGGCAACGAACTGAACCGTGCACCGCGGTGGTGGCACACAAATTCTGGGGATCACCAGCAATGACGTTAGCAGTGTCAGTTTAGCAAAGTGTCTATGAAAATGGACACTAGCTTGTGGTCGCACTATCCTGCTCTCATATGTTGTCATCCTCAGCTCAAGTGGCTTTTGTTGGACCGAAAGCATTATTGTGCCAATGCAGATGAGACTCACACCTAAAGAAAGAAGCATCGAAAGGTACCACGCTTCGAGATCTGCAACCTTGGTTGATCAACCGCGACAACAGGGTCAAACCGATTCTGTTTCAACCTACAATTGGTGCAAGCTAAATCTACACACCCAAAAATTGATAGTACGGAATGGTGGCCCGGGAAATGTGCGTGTTTTGTTGGTCTTGTGCGCAACAAACACACTTGCTTAGATTTGTTTACAAGTTATATATATATATATATGTACGAGGTCTGTTGTTCGGTACCTGCCTCGTATTCCGGAACCCTGTTCAAGCGTATCTGGCGTAGTCTAAGAATACTCCAAGTGAGCACCTGCCTCCTTTTCTGCTCATGTCCCAAGCTTCTGCAGCAAACTGGTTGATGTTCCCATTTCTTCTTAGGGCAAACTGCTAGATGTTGTTTTGCTGCTAGTTTATTTACCCGGGCTTTGTCCACTGGCATTCGCTATTCTTCAAACCAGGACACTAAGACTCCGAACTTGCCTTGCAGAAATTCCAGCTTGTAAAGCAAAGGAGGAAAAATTCGCATCGCTGAAGTGGTCTGCTGCTTTCCTGGAAGGCCTAGGCTCTACAGCGTGGACTGCATGGACATGCATTGCGTTCTCCAGGATGGGAGAACAAAATTAAGAAGAAGAAAGGGCCTCTTTCACAAAGCCCCTTTAAAGGGTGTCTTATTACAGAAGCACTTCATCTTTGTTCTTTCCGTTTCCAGTTTCAGCTGCCATTTTGGTTTAAACTCACATGGCAGTCTTGAATTGGGTCGCTGCGCTTGAAGCCAATTTCCCCGTTTCAGGTAAGGTGTGATCATGCAACATGATTTTTTCGTTTGTCTTTCTTCTTTGTAGCCTGGGTGGTCGGCCGTAGTAAGCTTAAGTAGGAAGTAAGGGGTATTGTAACTATTAAGCTTAAGTAGCTTCTCAGGCTTGGATACCAAAGGGCTCGGGCTTACTGATTTCGTTCCTAGATGTTTGGAAATAAAGGTTGACAACAACAGGGAAGCATGAATTCGCTGTGTCTAACCTTTTCGCATCAAAGGCATTGTGAGTGGATCAAGTGGATTCCCTCGATTGAAGACAGCCAAAAGACTCTGATGTTTCCAAGATGCGCAACTCTTTCAGGAAGGGATCTCCACTTGCTGGCCCTGGCTGGCTATAGGTCTGGTTCAGTTGTCCTCAGATTGGGTTGAGTTGGGCTCGGCCTGGTGGGCGGTGAAGCTGACAGGGCTGGGGTGATACACAGAGTGCCTCAATGCTCTTAGCCCAATCATGCTGAGTGGAGTTGAAAACAAAGGCCCTATCAATGATATAGAAGCACCGAATCTCATTCCATGTATGTATATACATTCCAGAAAAAGAAACACACAAAAATGACTATTCGATAATAGTCAAAAGATGTCAAAAGCATCTTGGAGCACCATGGTTTTCAAGTAGCCCGGTAAGGAGGGGGGTAGGCTGCAAAAGTAGGCTGCTAGTAGCTGGGATGCAGGAAAGCTTAGGCTTCCTTCAGGCGGGAGGAGCTTCCTTGAAGAAGCCCTCGCGCTATGATTTGGTTTGGGGAAACTTACACCGAGGTATTGATGTATTGCCAGGGGGCGAAGCCACATCTCGGCATCGTCGGCCATGATCTCACACAGCTCACCTTAGAAGGTGATACCTTTCTGACATGTAATTTTTTTAGAAACTGTTGACAGAATTCTCCTGGTGACGCGCAAGAGTGGAACGTGAAACAGCTGGTTCAGCGCTCAAAAAGGCAGTTCACCTGAACGGTGTTCTATCAGAAGAAGCATGAATAAACATCGACAGTATAAGTAATACGAATATGTAAACAAAAAAGTATTTATATACCAAAGTCGCTGAAAAGTAACAAAACTTAACGATAAATGATATCATATGATATTCTATCATCCTTTTCCTGTTGTTCTGTGTTCAATGGATTGACACTGCATGGGTAGGCAAAGTCGCAACCGTAGGTGAGGAAGATGGGCTCTGGGCCCTCCTGCTGAGTTGACAGAGGTCCATTTGTCAGTCGAGCGGCCAAAGCACAAAAAGAGCCTGACTCATAATTCATTTAGGCTCTAAATGGCTCCCAGCATAAGACCTAAGGCTATTTCGGAAGATTGTCGCTTTACGGTCTTGTTAGAAACTAACTGGTGCTCTTATCAAGTCACTGTGCAAAACCCCCTGGAGCATGTCTGTCTATTCATGCTGGCGGAATTCCCAAGCTTGTGTTGCAAGAACAAGACAGGCATGGCAAGGATTTTACACAGCAACAGCCGGCATGGATCGGCATGGCAAGAGTTGGCATCTCCTCATCTTCGGATCCGGCTGCTCGGGTCGCTGGAGCCACCAGGGGCGTTTCTTGCAACAAAGAAGCTGTGGCAGCCTGAGATCAGGCAAGTCTGTGAACAATGAAAAGAATCTCGTTATAGATGCTATAGAATGTATTGGAATGTTATAGAAGCAACTCCAAACACATTCCATCACACATTAATTGCAAAAAATGAATTGTGTTGTTGCCAACCCAAAACAATCAGGTTGGTGTAAACCACGGAACCCCCCTTGCATACAAGCAACAATACCACAGGCAAGGCTGAAACACACCAAACCAAAATGAAGTAAGACCCAAGCCATTTCATCCAGAAACCACACACAACGCATCCAAACAAAACCAGCACAGAATTATAGTTATGTAAGGAAGATCGAGACACACCAAGCAAGCCTACAGGATGAAGCTGCAAGCTCGAACAATCGCGTCCTCTTTGACTACCACACACAAATCCCTTTGCAGCAGATTGTGTGGCTGCAGGCAGCGCATTGGTACGCATCAATCGCAATCATTCGCAATCCCTTTCTTCCTGCAGTTTGTCATATTATTGTCTTCACTTGGGCAACATGCTGCTCGATGTACATCTCCTGGCCCACCGATTGGGTGCTGCGCAAGGATTGTCCCTCGTCGTGCAGTGAGTCCAGGACTCAAAGGGCGCGCGCCGTTTTTCCACACTGAATGGGTGGACGACCTTCGTCGAGCTTCATCAAAGATTGACAACATTCAGTCTGCATCCGGCAAGATGTCATCAAGGCCTGCAGAGAGCACCTCGATTCCCTTCTGCCCAAAATGTCTGTTGTAGGCTAGCTGCAAATTCCTTTCAAAAAAATCGTCACATTAAGTGAGTCAGCTGTTCTGATTGCTGGCTTATCAACCTCAAAACAACAAGCAAAGGCAAAGAACAGAAATAGAAACAAACTTACCGGACTTTCTAGCCGCGCTTCGGCACAGGTCCATCTTGCCTACTAAAAAGCGTTGGAAGTCCAAGAAGAGCCCTGAGCTCAGCACTTTCCACAAGTGCCTTTAAGTCAGTTTGCGCACAACCAACCTCAACAGCCTCGACAGCCCGGCCATGTCTTTTCAACGAGCCACAGCTGGTAAAGTTGCCAGAAAGCTTGGCAGGAAGCGCTTGTTCCGGAGGGGCAACAATGGCTCCTACAAAAGGAGTCGACACAGTCGACGAAGAAAGTGCTCGATCAATTTGCAAAGGGCACGACAGCCAATCCGTTTTGTTACGGGCTGAGGCAATACTTACAGTAAGGACGGTCTCGCATATCAAGTAAGAGTGTCATCGCTCCTAGGCCAGCAACACACTTGTCAAATCACATGAGGGGCGTATACTACCTGAAAATACCTGAAAGGGTTTACATTGTTGTCAAGCATCCAGTGCATCAGCAAAATGAAACATTCAACAATATGTTTATGACCCTCCTCTTCGATGCCAGAAACTAGCGTCGACGGCGTAGAGATGTATGCTGCAGCAACTAGATGGCGCACATCCTGGAGGCGTGAGTGGCTTCTAGGAGCAGGAACGAGCAGGAATCGGGCTTGGAGGTTGTCTTTCCTTCGGATTCTGCAGAATAGAATACAAGAAATGCAAATAGGAAAGCAGTAGATCATACTAGCAGCTAGCAATTATTAGCAAGTTGGCGCCAGATGGCGCCAGTACTGTACAAGCAAGCGGACACCTTGATCACACACGGCGAAAGTCCAGTTAAAGAGTGGCAAACAGGAACTGAAGAAGGTCAAAAAATCAGATGAAGCAATTCAATAGAGGTTTGGATCCGACTTTATAGCTTTCATCAGCTTCCCAACTCTTGCCACGGCCAGCCCGCCTTGATGAGAACTTCTTTGCATCGGAGACCCTTTCGCGCTTCTTGAGCTGCCAAGGCTAGGCCTTGCTTCCATCAGTCGTTCAAAGTAGTTTCCTGGTTCCTTGCTTCCATCAGTCGTTCAAAGTAGTTTCCTGGTTCCTTATATGTTTAAACTCTAAACTAGACATCTAGGCTTTTCTTTTCCTTCTTCCTTTGTCGTTTCTCTTTTCTATTTCGGTTCAAAGGACAAACGAAAGCCATACCAACATGCTCTCCGAAAGAAGCTGCCAAAACGATCCAAAAGAATAGAAACACACACTGTGGTTAAAGCCATGTTTATGCAACATGCATAACATGCATGTCTAGTCTATTTATTCATAAGTAATTATTCCATCTGATGGAGTCTTTGTATGTGATGTTGACTTTGTTGTCTTGGACTTCACCAAAAAAACAGCAAAGTAGATTGGATATCATTGGATACAGTATTATATAGCTGGAAAATGATGGTAATGTCTCTGGGAGTTCCGTCGTTTGACTTGGAAAATGAAGAAACATACTCTGCACACGACAGCAACATTCTCCCGCAGACCCACATAGCAATGCCACATCCTGCAAGTGGGAGCAAATGACAGCAAACCCTTACATAAAAGTCTGCAACACAATTGCTACTTCATTCTGTTTAGCTTGGACTGGAACTAGGAAGCACCTGGCCTCACACCTAGAAACCTCAATCCCAAAGAGGTCCTCAGCCTGTCCATTCAAGCCCAGGTGACAGCGTGTTGTGCCAACCACTAGCGGCAGAATAAGAATCCATCCAATAGTCATTACACATTGTCATCGACAACGGCGCTTCACTAAACGGAGGCTTTGCCCCAGGAACGCCTTCAGGGTTGGATGCAATAACGAGAGTTCTTGTTACTTGTTTGGATGGCTGTCAAGTTTGCCACGAAGTCTTATAAACCCTACAGTTGTATCAGATTATCATCAAACGGGTCAGTCTTGTCTGGATGCAGTATGAATCTTGCATATGGCTGTCTTCTGTCTGCAACTGGTGGGAATGACCGAGCGCTATTTATTTGGATACGATGCTGCAGGGGTTAGGCTGCCTGTGAAAGTAGAGCCAGCAAGAATGCTTACATTGAGCTCAGATGTCTGTTGAACAAATTGCGAAGATGATGACCACAACCTGGAACTCTCATGTCAGGCACCGTGTACAAGCTGCAACTGCGCAAGAATTCTTGAATCATAATCATGAATGTTGTATCCAAGGTCATTCCAGCTGCCCCTCGCTCCTTGCAACAATAGCCTCTTGGACATTTTGAATATGTAGGAACTAGTAACTAGAGCATGCTCTCCATAGCTGTTGGTTGTTCGCTGGGCTCATAATTTTCAGGATTGAAGAAGGAGGCTTGGCATACTGATGCCGAAGGCTTTCACAAATGTCACAGTCACAATCCTTGTTGAAAGGGCCGCTGCAGTACCATATCATGCACCGAAAGGCTAACAGTACAGTCGTTTCAAGACCAACAAGCCACAGTCCCATTTGCATCCATTTGCCCAAATTCGGTTTCAGCAACAAGCCCTCAAGTCCTTTTCAAGCCCCAAATTGTGCAACACACAAAGAATAGCAGCTTCAGTTCAGACCGTTAAGATCGCCCGGAAGGCCGCCCTCCCCACTGGCCATGACATACAAGTCCTCCAACCTGCATGTTGCACAAAATTTCCGTGTGCTGCAAGGAACAAGCAACTGACCGACCTCAGAAGTGGCAAGAACTTATATTTATAATCTTATATGTAGTGCTCATGAAGCTCTCCACGCCCTTATTTTCAAAAGCTGTGCTTTGAAGAAATTGGATTCATAAGGTCAAGAATAATGACCTGGAAAACGGGGTCACCCAGAGTGCAAGATAGTGACCCGGGCCGACAATCCTGCCCATTGAGGCCCAGAGCACACGTCCGCACTACAGGCAAACCAGTGAAACGCTGCAAAAAGAAAGGAGGCCTTCTGGGTGCACCCCCCCACGGGTCCATACCCACAGAGCAAACTATGATGCACCCGACACCGGTGTCCACCCTGCCCTTTATTCAGCCGGGGCTGGAGCCCAAGGTAGCACGGTCAAGCCGTTCTAAATCGCAGGACAGAGTGAAAAAGGCCACGCGCTTCGCGAACACCAGGAGGGGCCAAAGAAGACGGGAAACGCTTCCGTCGCTTGGAGGAACCCTTCTATCAAGATCAGATCTTTTCACACGGGTTACGGTCAACAGTCGAAAGACATGGATGGCCGAGCTTTGCGAGCCAAACGCAACAAGCGTGCGCGCACCGAAACACTGGGCGACAGTTCAGTGAGCTGTGCTAAAGCGTCAGCCAGGTAGATTCGGGCAGTTTTTGGACAATTCCATCGTCCAACAACACAAAGGGCCGGCAAGTTATTATATAGTCAAACGAAACGTATGTGTCGCGCCACCTCGCCGAAGCGAATACCATTGGAAGCCTTCAGGCAGCTGAAGGTCATTAAAAAGCTGCTTGAGGCGGTGACGCATGCCCCCTGGGCTGATTGTACGCAAGTGATCACCCGGCGCGTGTGAACGCATGAAGTTAAACAAGGCATGTACAATCCACGAATCTTCTATTACTAAGGATTCCTGAGCTCCGTGTCGCTGGCCACTCTTTGTGAGTGGGAGAGTCCAGACGACCCTTCGCAAGGAGGAATCAAAATGGAAGTCACCGCGCTTTGCGTTAAAAAGCTCACCTGTCCGGGCAAAACGGTCAAAGCCCAGAAGCAAGAGGATCGCAATATCACTCCAATCTCTTTCAAAGGCTCGTTGCGCCAGGGCGTAAACGATCACGGGAGTAAAGGGGAGCGCTCTAGCAGGCAGTTCTGCCCGGCTCCAACTACCGTGAAGTCTCCACGCCCCAGCCAAATGCTTCTTGCATTGCGGGATGTAGTGGCCCAAGCCACTTAGACAATCAGATGCAAAAGCCTTGGAATCACCATTTTGCCATAAATATTCAATATATTCACATACTCGACCATCCAGCAAGAGGAAAGTTGAAGGCTAAGGGTAGTCGTGCAGTTGTAGGAATTCCAGGAAAAGTGAAACAGCTTCAAAATATCGAGTCAGGGTACGTGGGGCGACAACCAAACTTTGTAAACTTCCCAGCTCACGACGCTCCTTTTTTCCTGCACGCGGCGAGCGCCGCGCCAGCACCTGTTTAGGCGCCATCGGAGCGTCTCTTGGCGGGGCCCCCCATCGACTGGGCCCATCGGCCGGGTTCCATTTGGACTTTACCCAGCCCGGGTGGAGCACGACACCCCCCGCGATCAAGATCGCGCCGATCCGACGCAAGGGGTTCTGGAGCGCGCGAGCTGAAGAACGGCCTTTGGCCAAGGCGCTTAGTGCAGTTTGGTTGTCAATCAAGATCACGTACCGCCTGTTGTGATGCTTTGAGTCTCGACAAAGCTTGCGAAGAACGTCCAACACGGCCGCGGTCTCAAGGACGTTAATGTGCTGTCCCGGTTCCTTCCATTGGTGCGAGAGAAGCACCTTCCATACCCAATGAGTCGGATCAACGCTCTGCCTGCACGCTGCTCCCACTGCCATGGGGGCGCCATCTGAGACTCGAATCTCTCCACCATGGTGTGAAGCTGCACGCGTGAGGAGGTAGCTCAGCACTTGTTCATCCGTCATCCATTGCCGTGGGTCGATCAGGCGCGCCGAGCCGGTGACCACTGGCGCGACCACAAGCTCACGCAAGGATCGAACCATGGTGCCCGACCCGGCGAGCGACCCGAAACGCACCTTCCAAGGCTGCTCATCATGTTGAGCTCTTTCTTCCATTTCATGCCAGCACTGCCACAACATGCTGGTGACATCCTGGTCAGCGACCATGTCGTCACTCGCCACCAAGCCTACAAGCAGGCGAGCCACTGCGATAGCTGAGAAACTGTTTCCGATGAGCTGACCCTTTACATCATTCGACAGCTTGACCTTGGCCTCGAGATGGTTGGAAGCGAAGCCCATCATGCGCAGCTGTTCGCTCGGAAGTGGACGTCGTGGTCCATGTTTGTCGGTGACCAAATTTTGGTATGGCTGTACTCTGTAGGCATCGCCTTTCCATCGAGCTTTGGCCTTGTCGCTAGCCTGATCATACCCGGCCGGATCGGTGGGTGGTGATCTCCGTGCAATCGGCCTGGTGAAAGTAGCAAAAGGCTCTTCTTCTGCTTCGGCCTTCTGTGCTCCTCGTTCAAGAAACCAGACAAGCGGTGGTCTTTCAGTTTCGATCTCCACCTTGGTCACCATGTAGTCGCCTCCTCGAGGTGTATGATTCCGCTGCATCGTCAGGTCTGCGCCCAAAACTAGAGGCAAGTTCCTCCGCCAGTACAGCCGCGGCCGGCGGCATCTTCCCAGTTCACCTGCCTCCAGAAGCACTGCCGGAAATCCTATCTTTTTGGACTGGGTCTCATAGTCCGACTGATCCACGACGACGTTTTCATAGAACTCGCAAACTGTCCATGGGCGTAACCCATCGATCGTGCTCACTTCCTGCATACAGTCTCTGATCCGGATCAGTTCATCGAGCAGTCGACTGCTCTCAGCCTCCGCTCCACCCCTGTGCACATTCAGTAGCGAGTGGTTCAAGCAAGGCCACCCTCCAGCAAGAATTACTCGAGTGGCCCGCGGGAATCTCCGCCGTAGCTCCTCAAGTTCCTTCCGTTGGACTTTGTGTATGTCGTCATACCATATTGCATGCCTCACATGCTGTCGGAAGATGCGGCCGCATTCTGGCAAGGCATCAATGCCCACTACTCCTAGGGGTTGAAACCCAAGTAGTTTCAAAGCCTGGGAAAAACCACCGATCCCAGCAAAAGCTTCAATCACCACTGTAGCATCTGCACGGTTCCCTTCAATCATCGACCTCTCATGGGCCAAAGTGTTAATCCTGGCTCTTCCCCATTTTGTGATTGCAGTGGAGATGCATGCTCCTCCTCCATCTTCAGAGGCATCAGTAGCAAGCACTTGCCCTGAGATTCCGCATCGCTGATCGATCCAGTGGGTCGGCAGTGAGCATGTGAGCAATTGCTGCTTCGCTGACCCATGCTTGCTCTTCACTGTTGTACTCCTCATAGACTTTGTCAAACAGGCTTGCCAAAGGTCTTTGATACTGCACTGAATGCATGTTCTTCAACACCACTGCTTCATAGTCTCGGCTGGTAAGGCGGACCACATCCTCCAAGATTGTATCAAGGTTTGCCGCCAAGAGTCCTCGTCTGAACTTGGTGGCACTTCCTACAAGGCCCAATGCTCCATCAACTTCTGCTCCAAGGCTGTTCCATGTAATGCTACCCTCGCTAGCTTTTCGAGGGTCTCGGGTGATTCCTCTTCGATCCATCTCCTGGCGAAGCTTCAGTTGCACATCACTTGGTTTGCCTTCGTAGAGTCCCTGCTCTGTCTTCCATACCACCAAGAGCTCATCAAAGTTGTCCACGTAGAATGAATAGTAGCTGCGAGGGCTCGTGAGCGGCTGCAAAGGCGAAGGCTCATTCATCCGAATCACTTGACTTGACTCCAAACCAGCTGACTTTGCCACTGTTCGAAACCACTCTGGATGAAGTCCACGATGTTATTCCATCCCACTGGTGCTGATTCGCTGATCGTACACGTGGGTAACCCGCCTGCTTCTTTCCATCTCGAAAACACCACCCTGCAGCCTTTCTACTGAGTACAAAATACCCTCGCCATTTCTCCCCTGGGCGGTATAGGTGGAAGCATTGCTTTTGGTCCTCTGCGCAACAAAGGACGACCTCTGACTCATGCACATACAA